GACCATATGTGCTCCACGTCACCCGAGTTGTGTTGTCCACGTGTTAGGCTTGAAAACTCGTCACACGTGAAAGAGTGTGTTGAGAATGAATCCACATTGATGAGAGGAGAAACATTGCCATATTGCCAATTAGTTTTATGGTAGAACCTCGACTTTCTTCACTCAAATGTCATAGTGGAAAGCTTTCGACTCTCCAAGATTGAGACAAGAATGCTCTAATAACAAGTATGATTGTGAATTACCAATTAGAAGAGAGTACTTTTACACACATCTTTTTACCCTCCACACACTCCTCTTAATTTTCAGCAATCGAATCAAATGAACTGAATCGGATCAAAAAACTGAAATAAACCAAATATGTGTGAAAAATAAAAAAGAATGTGCAAATAGCACCACCTAAAAAAATGTCTGAAAATGAAAAACTTCACAGAAAGCAAGTTCTTTTTTTCAGCTCTCGTACCAACTCTCCCATCTATAAGTACTCGCACTTTGATGACATGTGCTTATATTTAAAGAATCAAACAATGATTCGATTTGTTGGAGGATCCACATGATGTGTGATTTCATATTTTTATTTTTATTTTTTAATTTGCACCAATTTGAACGTTGTTATACTGTTGGTTGAACTCTAAACTACGAGACAATTCTTCAATAGATATCTACCGAAATTGTGAAGACATTTCAGTGAAATTTTATTAGAAAGTGAAGACATCTCGATAGATCCCTATTAAATAAATAGAAAAATGCTAAGTTGGATTAAAGCATCAAATTTTGTAAAGGAACAAATGTATAGTCTAAACAAGTTGGAAAAATGATGGGGCAGTTTCTTTTATAGTGGGATTTCTGTATTTATTTATTTAATACATAACCTTTCTTCATCTCCGAGAACCTTTCTTCATCTCCGAGAATGCCTTCCCAACGAAGCCTCTCGAGTCACTCAGTGTTTCTTATTCCTTGGGGTACCTCTGCAAACAAATGACACCAAAGCAAAAGTATCTCATATCACCAGGGTAGAAAGCAAGAGTATCTCATATCATGCATTCTCCCTGTCCTTTCCTTTTTCCTTGTTCTTACCTACAAAGACAAGGATAAAGAAAACAATATGCCGGAAACTCCACTCAAACTCGAATGCCACATTTGCCTGGAGAACAGATAAGGCAAGTGAAAATGATACCTTGCAGCATGTGGAGACAACGTGCAGAAGAAACAAGCAGAGAAGAATGCAGTCTTCACAGTCAGCTCAGCAGAAGGAGTCTGAGCTGAGGAACTCAAGAAGCTGCCACATCTGCCTGAAGAAACAAGCAGAGAAGAATGCAGTCTGCACAGTCAGCTCAGCAGAAGGAATCTGAGCTGAAGAACTCGAGAAGATGCTACATTCTACCAGAAGAATAGATAAGACAAGGGAAAATGATACATTGAAGCATGTGGAGACAAGCACAACGAAGCACGTGTCGATTCATCCGCTACTTCTTCAAAATCAAAAGTATCTCATATCATCAGGTTTGCGATCACTCTGGGTGGAGGACTCGTTTTGACCCTCAAATTCTTGGGTCGACTTGCTAGGCGTTGTAGGCTGCATGTGCCTTTTCACCACCCTTGAATCAAGTCCTTAAAGATCAAGTCACCAACTAGAAGAAGAGCCCATCAATCTTGAAGATCATACCGTTGACCAAACTGCTCAGGTGTGAATTAGAAAGATTGAACAAAGCAACAAGTCGTCACCTTCACCTCGTGCCTGTTTTCCATGTGTTCGAGTCAACCTTCAAGAATCAAGCATCAACGGCCCTTGAAGAAGTTTCCGGCCAAATTCAAGATCAAGCCTCGACGGCCCTTGATCACAAGTCCGATTCAAGATCAAGCGTCCACCATATTTGAATCAAATCCAGTTCAAGAATAAGCTGTGGAAAGTCAACAATTGGAGGAATCCAAAAAATCCTCCAACCCAGTTCAAGATCAAAGCTGTGGAAAGTCAACAAAGCGCAAAAACAAATATGTGCCGATTCATCCACTACCAAAGCCAAAGATCATCTACCACATAAAGCTCCTTGTGGTCCAATTTCAACCTTCAAGATCAAGCCTCGACGGCCCTTGAAGAAATTTCAAACAAAGTCCAAGAACAAGCCTCAACGGCCCTTGAAGAAATCTTCAGCCCAATTCAAGATCAAGCCTCGATGGCCCTTGGATTGACAACTACATTAAGGGACTTCAAAACGCATCTCCTACATGTAACAAGCACATGTATACAACGCGCCTTGAAGTGGGGGCATTTGTAGACATTGAAATTTCGGTGGCATAAATGTTAGCCATTGCATTAAGATTACATTTGTAAACATTGAAATTTTGGTGAAATAAATGTTGACCATTGTATTAAAATTACAACCTTCATTCACTTCACCTACATCATACACTAAGTTCACCTACAACATCCACCAAGTTTCACCTACAAACATCCACCAAAATTCACCTACAACATCCACCAAAACAAATGGATGGTGGTGATTCGTTCCCAAAGCCTATAAATAGGCTTCTCCATCAAAGAAAAAACCAATTCACAAATACATTTCTCTACTCCCAAAATGGAAGAGAATACTCCCCACACATCCAAAATCCTTGAAGCTTTGAAACTCTAAAGCTTTCAAGCATCCAACCTCCCAAATTCAAGCAAATCCCGAAGGATTAAGAAAGCCCTCTTCGTTCTTCGTCAAATCCTCTTTCAAGATCAAGCCCCAACGGCCCTTGAAGAACTTCCACCAATTCAAGATCAAGCATCGACGGCCCTTGAAGAAAGTGTTCAACAAATCCACACAACTGTTCATCCCAAGATCAAGCCCCAACGGCCCTTGGATCAACAATCATCCACCAATTCAAGATCAAGCCCCAAAGGCCCTTGAAGAACTTCCACCAATTCAAGATCAAGCCCCGACGGCCCTTGAAGAAAGCATCATCGTTCATCATCCGTTCATCCAAGATCAAGCCCCGACGGCCCTTGGATCAACAACATCAACAAATCCACACATCCAACCGTTCTTCAAGATCAAGCCCAAAAGCCCTTGAAAATCCGTTCATCACCGTTATTCAAGATCAAGCCCCGACGGCCCTTGAAGAAAGCACCATCGTTCATCATCCGTTCATCCAAGATCAAGCCCTGACGACCCTTGGATCAACAACATCAACAAATCCACACATCCAACCGTTCTTCAAGATCAAGCCCAAAAGCCCTTGAAGATCCGTTCATCACCGTTATTCAAGATCAAGCCCCGACGGCCCTTGAAGAAAGCACCATCGTTCATCATCCGTTCATCCAAGATCAAGCCCCGACGGCCCTTGGATCAACAACATCAACAAATCCACACATCCAACCGTTCTTCAAGATCAAGCCCAAAAGCCCTTGAAGATCCGTTCATCACCGTTATTCAAGATCAAACCTTAACGGCCCTTGAAGAAACATTCATCCTCAAGATCAAGCCCTAACGGCTCCTTGAAGATTCGCTCAAATCCACCTTCAAAGATCAAGCCCACGGCCCCTTGAAGAAACTTCTAACAGTTCATCCAAGATTAAGCATCGACGGTCCTTGGATCAACGAAACATCCACAAATCAACACCTTACGGAGATCGAATCAGAGGATCAAATTTAAGAGAGATTGTAACCCAAAATCATCAAACACAAATATTATTTTGTGCACGTTGTTCTTGTCTCTTTCGTTTCGGGAATTTTCGTGTTCACAGAGACGCGACAGAATGAGGTGAAACTAATAAATCACATAATTCATTAAAATTCAAGATCTAATAAATCAAATAATTCAAAATGCCTTTATAAAAAATTAATGAGTTTTTGACTCCCGAATATCCAACCGATTAATTAATTCTTTACTAACCTCTTGCCACACACATACGCGTGTGGCAATTGACATTTTTATATATCTTTTATTTAAATAATTAATTTACATATTTTTTTAAAAAATATTTAAAAAAAAAGAAATGAATTAAAAACATGAAACCACCCACTAATGTGGGAGGTTTTGTTTTTTTTTTCTATAATTTTAAATATTAAATTCATTCAAAATAAAAATATGGTTAAATATTTTAGCTTCTTTTGGTTCAATTGTAATTTATGAAATTCTTAAAGGACAATTTATGGTATTTTGAATGTTTTACCATTTTAGGGTGCTCACTTTATATATATAGATATATATCTTTTATTTAAATAATTAATTTACATATTTTTTAAAAAATTATTTTTAAAAAAAAAAAGAAGAAATGAATTAAAAATTATTTAAATTCAAATTTTTTCTACCACAGGGGCTATCTTCCAAATTCCTTATGACCAAGGGGACCATTTATCTGATTTGGCCAACCTAAACCTAATAGAGGAATGACAAAAGGGCATAAATCATAACCGACTTAGACCACAGGAGTTTAAATCCTACAAACTGTGACCACAGGGGTTTAAATTTGAATTTTTTTACCACAGAATTATCATCCGAATACTTTATGACCACGGGAACCATTTATCCGATTAGGCCTAATGTAAACTAAACACATCAAGTAAGCGAGTTGAGTCGGGTCTTGAGCTGGTTCGAGCAGGCTGGACTGAAGCTTGGGCTTTTGACTCGAGAGTCGCCGAGTCGCGACAAGCCCGAGTTGGTGCGATGCCTCCAACCAAATCAAGTAAATATCAACCGTCCATCACCAACCACATGATGATATCACCGTCCGCAATCCAACGGCGCAAAACCCCTCGCAGTCACTGCCCCCAGCTCATCTCTGACGGATTTGGATCCTCTCCTGAGCTAATGGAGAGGATCCTCCTGACCAAGTGTTATGAACCGTTGGATTTTTATCCAACGGTTATAATTATTATAACTTTAAAAGGACCCACCTGTTTGTATCCGTTGGATGAAAATCCAACGGTCCATAACACTTGGTCAGGAGGATCCTCTCCGTTAGCTCAGGAGAGGATCCAAATCCCATCTCTGACCTCAACGTTTACTCTCTCTCTCTGTATCTGATGAGTTTGCGTGAGCAATGGAGAAAAATAGCTGACGTTGTATTTTATTAAACTGAGAATCTGCGAGAAAATTGAAAGAAATGGGAAGAAAAGGTGAGCTCTGAAGCTTCTCTTCTGACTGTGGTACTCATTGTATCTTTTATATCAGGTATATATTTGATTGAACCCCTGCAATTTCTTCCTTTTTATATCATCATTTTTGGGTTATAGGCTTTTGATTTCTGTGAAATTTGATTATTTTTGTTTGATCATTAGTGGGTTTTTAAGTTTTAATTCGAGTTAATAGCTTAGTACAATTGCTTTGGTTCGATCTATTTGGGACGGTGAATTTTTGGAAGATTTTATTTTTTATTAAGTGTAATTTAGTGAATTTAGAGAATAGATGAAGTTTTTCAGACATGGGTTCTTCTTCTCAGATTGAAATAAGGCTCTGATTTTCTGGGATTTGATTTATTTTGAGTTTTCTCTAAGTGGGTAACTGTCTTTTGATGCTGTTTTGTGCATTGACTTGTGTTGTACTACTGGTTTGAGACCGAAGAATTAGTCGAAAATGTAATGCATATTGGATGAACTCATAATTGTGAATGCTCACCCACTTAGGAAGAAAATTTGAGGCTTTTATTATGTTTGAGAACAATTCTGTAGTTTTAATCGGATGGGGTATAAGAGCTTTCTTCATTTCCCGCTTGTCCGGTTGTACCTTGTTGTTAAATCTTGGTTTTGTTTTTAATGTCTCGTTCTTGTTTGTTTGTCGTGGTGATATCCCTGACAAATTTGGGAGTAATTTAATGTATGAACGTCAACTAGTCATGTGAACCATGTAACCCCCCATCTGATTGGTTGTGTGATCTTGATCATTTTGGTAGGCTGGCATTGCTCATTTTACCAATTATGTGATATTGCAATCCTGTTCTGCTGCATTTAGTTAGCATTGTTTGATTTATGTTTAATAGAAATGATTAAGAGAACTAATCATAGTTCTGATTTTGTTGCAGCTTACAGCCTTGGATATGAGATAGAAATAAATTCTTTGAATCTATCAGTTCCAGACTGTGCCATGTACTGCGAGTAAGAAAGAGGACGACTTTTTTATAAAGTGAAAAATCTAAAAAGTTGAGCAAAATCTATGCATTCTCACCTTCCAATTTGGTTGGTGGAGTTAGATGGATGTTCCCTCTGCAGAACCAAATAGTGACACCCAAGGTGACCAATTTCCTTTGCTACTAGAGCAGATGGAAAGTCATAACAATCGTGTGCACATAATTGATGTAACAAGGAATGATGATGCTTCATCAAGTACATCCAGTGATGACCAACCTCCTAGAGTGGACATGCCCCATCATGAAGACAGATCATCAGCAAGTACACATGCCCCCTCTTATCAAGCTGCTTCATCTTCCTCAAACAGATTGAATTCTAGGAATTCCTCATTTATGAGGAGAGGTGATGGGTATAGTCGTCGCCGAAGAAGCCCTTTAAATTCAGGGTTATGGATTTCTGTTGAGCTTGTTGTCACTGTGAGTCAGATTATAGCATCTATTGTTGTTTTGTCACTGTCAACAAATGAAAATCCACAAGCGCCTTTGTTTGCATGGGTTGTGGGTTATGCATCTGGTTGTGTTGCAACACTTCCTGTTCTTTACTGGAGGTTCCGTAACCGCAACAGGGGTTCTGAGCAAGAATCCATTCAATCGCATCAAGGGTCTTCTGAAAGCAGTCCTCCTGAACCAACGTCTTATACAGCTATTTCAATTACACAAGCTTCAGATGAAGAGAACAGTCGCGCCTCCGAAACGGTTACAACTAACCCTCAAATTGGAGGACCCTTAAGTGCAAGGTTTTCCATTTCTTTGATCTTCTCATTTTATGTTTAATTGGTGGGTGATGTCTTGCATTTTACTTACTGATATTGTCACCTCACCTGTCAGGTTTCCTAGTGAGCATGCTTTTAGGTGAATGAATTTAGTTTAGTTCATTAAGTTGTTTTTGTTCTGATAATTACACACACATTTCTCAACAATATATCCCAAACAAGGCAAGTCTTCTCTAAAAATGCACGGGCAGCTAATAAAGATACACAAGACGGCTGAATCACCCAACTCAATCTTTTCCTCAAAAATATTGGCCACTGTCTAATTGGATAATGAAGAAATAAATGATTAACGTTTGAAGAACCTCTTCCATTCGTGTTGTTAACAGACCAAGAAGGTGAAAGACAACATACAGGGCCTCTTCTGTCGAATGGTAATCTTAAGTATTGAGCCTCCTTGAGCAATAATGCAAGCAAGTATTATACCTTCCTAGGAACCTTATGCCTTCCAGACATTGAAGATGGACTGAAAGGGTATATATATAGTTTATCGATTAATCAAGTGATCTACAGTACTTGAAGGATGAACTACCTCTCATTTATTCACAACTCAATAATTTTGATAGGGAAAAATGTGTCGTAGTGCATGTTAGATCACCAAGAAGTGGCTTGCATAAAATATTACATGTTAAATTTCAGTTTTGGGTTTCTTGTGCGCTGCAATTGTTGTAATTTTTCTCTAATGGTTTTCCTACTTGGGTTTCTACAATATACCGGTTGTCATCCATGCTGACATAAATCAAACTTTATGATAGGCCGTATTAGAAAATTAGTTACTTTGGAGGGTGAAATCAAAAGGTTTATATTGATCAATTGTACATACGAATTAGACAATAAACTGAAGCACGATGACAGCGCTAAGATTTTAAGGCCACTTTACATCAAACAGTTTAAATACTACTTTCTTGTATCTATCTTATCTTCTCTTTATATCTCTCCATGTGTTTTATGCAATTTATAGATGGTGTCATGAAGTGAGGAAGCTCATTCAATTTTGCAGAATAAATGGGTTAGTGGATCATTTCAAGATGGCCTTAGATTGCTTCTTTGCAGTCTGGTTTGTTGTAGGCAATGTGTGGATTTTTGGAGGTCACTCTGCCCCTTCTGATGCTCCTAAACTGTACAGGTACATCATGTTGATATATACTGCGTTTGAGTCATCTAACATTTCCTTGGTTTCTTCTAGGTTTTCGAGTCATCTAACGTATCCGGTGTTTCTTATAGGTTATGTATAGTGTTCCTTACCTTTAGCTGTATTGGATATGCCATGCCATTCATACTATGTGCAACAATTTGCTGCTGCCTGCCTTGCATCATTTCTGTCCTCGGATTTCGAGAGGATCTTTCTCAGGCTAGAGGAGCCACCGTGGAATCAATTAATGCTCTCCCGACATACAAATTCAAGTTAAAGGAAAATGTGACCAATGATGATCAGGAGGGAAGCCCAGGTAGTCAAGGTGGGCTCTTGGCTGCAGGGACAGAAAAGGAGCGTGAGATATCTGGAGATGATGCGGTGAGTAAGTTCTGTCCCTGCCGAGTTCATGGTCTTGAAATTTTATTTAATCTTATTATAATATTTACTGTAAACCAAAATATTACAATCATGATAATGGTTAATTGGCTATAATCACTTTCTTGGTTTGCGTGAAGTAGAGTTATATGGTCGCGTATTGGCTATATATAGCTTTTCGTTTGTTATAGGAAACAAGGCTTTATACATTCCTAAATTTTTGGAAAGTGCAAGTAACAACGAGACCGTTTCCTTCTATGCAATTGTCATTTGATTGATTTCTTTTCTCCTTCCATACGGTGCAGGTTTGTTGTATTTGCTTGGCGAAGTATGCAGATAACGATGAGCTACGGGAGCTACCATGTTTACATGTCTTTCACGTGGAGTGTGTTGACAAATGGTTGAAAATCAATGCATCATGTCCCCTATGCAAAAGTGAGGTCGGAGAGAGGAGCGGTGGCTCGCCATTGGCCAGGGACTCCAGCCAACAGTAGGGTAAGCAATGATGAGATCTGTGATGGCCAGGGACTCCAGAATTCAAAATTCTCGAACGGTTAAAACCCAATTCGGGTGGTTCATCCAAGTGCGAAAATTTCCATATCATTTTACAGAGATAGATGCATACTATTTGTCTCGGTTCTATTGCGTGGACTTGCAGTTCAGTATATCTGTAAATTTCATGTATACTATTCAAAATATACGGTGAGTTTCCTACTTTGCCCTCTTCTTTTTGTGGTTGGCGTCCATTGCTATAGAGAAAAAAAAAATTAAGACGTATTCTACCTTCGAGTAGGCATGCCACCTCAGAAGCGTCCTTACTAGATCGAAATTCCATTGCGTGCAGGTACCTATATTCGGCTGTCGGGATTTGAACATGTCAAGATGTCCTGACAGCTGAATATAGGTACCCATAGTTTTCGGTTTTATATTTGAATATATGCAACACAAGAAAATTGTCGTTTGATCTTAAATCTTGTTGCAAAACAAATGAACGCCGGCGGATGCCGAACACAAACAACCAATGCCTTAAAACTCAGAAAACACCCAACACCATAAGTTCGATAGGAAAAATAGACAAAATTGGTTCATGTCAAACGCTACCAAACGCGTTGATGTTGAAGTAATATCCATGGCAAAAAATTTCAAATAATCTAGTGTTTATACATAATGAAAGGAAATGGAAATGAAATGGTAAAAGTACAACATTGCTCCTGGATCTATTCCGACCGGATCTAAAACCATCGCTAAAAAAAATGATATTCTGCATCTCCTCCGACCTATTGGTAAAAGCTCAAGCGTACAAGCACGTACCAACAAGCAGACTCCAGACCCTCACAAAAACTCAAAATTAAGAAGGAAAAACCAACCCTAGAGGCACAATAGAAAGTTGATTATACACATTTCCAAGCAAACCTCATCTTCATGCAAACCATTACTTTGCACAAAACCGCGGTATAGTTATCTCAAAAAAGCTGCAATCCGATCTACCCTCCACATACGCTTCTGACCTGCAGCTTGGTTTTGTGATTTGTCAATCAAAAAACCGTGAATTTGCATGTTTCTTTAGTTAATGTTTCTCTTCAGCTTCATGATTGGACAGTAAGGCCTTTGAATGCCTCTAAATTTCCATTTACTGCAATGGAATCTGCACTTTGCTCCCCTTCCGTATGGTTCGCTATTCCATTTTGGTTGTATGGTGAGTTGGGTACGGCAGAGCTGCATTTACCTTCAAAGTATGTTGAGTAAGGGAAGTACTCAGCACACCGTTTTTTCCATCCTACAAAAGAAACAAAGTATTAGAGGAGCCCATGTACGAAGTGCTCTAATATACACGCAATACAATACCCGAGACTATTTCCAAACCAAAAAGTGTCTTTGTAACATGGATTACTACCAGGGAGAGATTCAAACACAGAAAAACATAAGGTCAAGAGTACAGGTTACAAATTTTTGAAACAAACACTTTTACTTAAGCGAGACAGACTGGAGCAAACCAATGAGCCATCTGATACCAAATTACCAATATCTCCCATTTCGTGAGAAGTAACCCAACTATGTAAAACTCCTTTTAATATTTTTAGTACGAAAGGAACAAAATACTCTTACTCAAAGCAGCAGCAGGGTCACCAAGAATAGTTTCAAGGAGTTTGTTGACTGTAATACAATCTTTGAGTGTCCACTCTCTGACAGGTCCAAGCGCTCCATTTCTAATATGATAATACATGCAAAGATTTATGACAATTACTTTTAAAGATATGTAAACAGGTAAACAATTCTCAAAGAAAAAAAATAAAAGAAATGGAACATGGCATTACTTGGGCACCATATTGTTGGTTGACTCTTCTATTAATTTAATAGCCTCAGATTTCTTGTCAGATTCCAGAGCATATAGCATTTCTGCAACTGCAGCTCTATGCATTAAAGAATCTGAAAAGACAAACAAAGAATGACATAAGGAAACAATTCAAACAATAATGAGCTTAAGCATTTATCGTTTAAAGTTCAAAATTAATAGTCACCTTGATGTTTCTCCAAGAAATTCTTGTTTGCCTCCACCAAAGACTTATTTTGCAATTGACTATAGAAAGAATAAAAACAGATCTTCCGTAAGTGAATTGAAATTTGTCACACGAGAGAGAGAGAGAGAGAGAGAGAGAGAGAGAGAGCAAAGTGCACATTCAAAGAAAACCTGATCATTGGGCGCTCAGCTTCCAAGACACTCCAAATGAGTTTCTCACCATCCGTCACAGGAGCAGGCATTGAACCCACTTTATGGAAGAATTTAATCTGTAACATAAAGTCTTGCAATAAGGGCCTCTAAAACAATCGCAACATATATGTACACACACAAACAAGCAAGACACGAAGTATGACATACCAAGGACCGATGCGAGTCTGGGTGTTCAGCATTTAACCTCAGAAGCTGCTTCAAAGCCTACAGCCAAAAGAAAACTTACGAAAATGAATATAAAATTGTTCTCCAAATCAAAAGAATGATTTACCTAAAACAGGTCAATTATCTTCCAAAATCCAAAGTGATTGAACTAGCAATAATGAAATTTCATTCCTGGCAGAATGCACTTTGTTATAGATAGTAAAGTAACAAGTACAAATTCCAGGTACTCCTATACTCCAGTTGTTTGTGACAGATATCTTGGATATTAAAATCCAACCTCTTCCAACCATGAAACAAACAGGGAGTTCTTCAAGTAAACAAAAATCAATGAGGAACATCTTGCTCAAAATTACCTGAAAGGCAAGCAAAATCTTCTGCTTCCTCATATTTACTTCAAAAGAAAGCAAGTGCGTCTCCAAGGACTCAGGCGAGTTCTTCTGAAGCAGCTTCAAGTACTTCGTAGCTTCTAACATCGGATCCTCAACCTGAGCAAATATGTAAGAGTGTAAGAGAGAACTAAAACACCAATTACTATGAAACAGCAGTATATAGCGAAATCTAAAGATGCCTGTATAGCAGTTGGAAACATGAAGCTAAGGGGCAAGAAGTAATTGCGAATTAAAAAATAACCTGCAACAACTTCTCCCCATGCGGATCAGGATCAACAGGCTTTACATTTCGTTTCCCAGACTTAGAAACACCACCTGCACTGGATTCTTCATTTTTTCCCTCTGCCTCCTAGAAGAATGCTGAGCATTAGGATGGTCAAAATAACAAGGACAACCACACGCTATACAAAGAAAATACAATACCTTCTTAGCTCGTGCTTCTGCCTTTCTCTGTTTTTGCCTCAGCTTCTTTTTTTGAGAAGCGGGCAACTTAGACATCTCATCATCTTCTTCGGATGTAGATTTCAAAGGCGAATCATACAACTTCAAATAGCATCTGCATGTCAGATTCAATAACCACAAATATTAACATGGGCCAAGAATTAAAGTACTGCATGTTATTCTATTTCAAAGTGAATGACAAACTACAAACCAACAAAGTTTATATGGTGTAAATAACAATAAATCTTGGATGAAGCTGTGACATGGAAATAACCTCATTTGCTTAAATTGTATATGAAAAACTACAAACCAATAATTCTACTTCACCTGATTGCACCAACTGCTGCTTTGTGAAAATAAGCATGTGAATGCAACCGATCTTGAAATTTAAGCATTTCAACATAGGCACGCAGCGTCATTTTCCTTAAGCAATAAGAATGGAAGTCAAACTGATCTTCTGTAATATCAGCATAATGCTTCTCCACACCTAAAAATTTTTTTAAGGCTCGTCCAAGATCACCTTGGCGGAAATAACTCTCACCGGAAGCAAGTTCATACCTTCAAAAGGACAAAGTATGGAATATTAAGAATTCCCAACCAAAAGTGTTATTTCATGCAAGCAGTAAATGGTCCCAGACAAAATTGACACAAACCACATGCACTGCATATCATGAAGGTTGTTGTGCTGATCACCATCTTTTGTGAACAGTACAGCAGTTTTGTCTGCCAAAGGAACCTTGAAAAGGAGGGAAACAAACATGAAAACAAGCTCAGTAATAAGAGAAACTATATAGAAAAGGCAACACAATACAACAACAATTTCTACGATAAAAATGCATACAAAGTATGGCTCCCATATATCATTTGTTTTGGTATAAGTCTGGCATTACTTGCTTTGTTTTAGGTGACTTGGTTAATGGACCCTATGTCCATCCCCCCCTTTGGCAATTATGTTCCGTTTTTTCTACAAAAGATTTTCCGATGAACAGAACAAAGAGATTAGTCACAAAAAGTGAGATTTAAAACCTGATCAGCCTGCAGCATACGCTTAACACAGTCACTATTTATATAGCGATCCGCAAGATCCATACATCTAGCTTCATCTGCTAATGCAGCAGCAGCAGGCAAATCACCAGCATGCTTCAAAACCCGACTCTGTGAACAGGAGACAAGATAACCAGTTATTGATACAAACAAATGCTTTCCAACAGTACATGTAAAACATTGTTCAATTAAAATAATCCATCACTTTTTTGTGCACATCAAAGACAGAATATGACAAGAAAAACAGTATTACCCAAGGATGCTAATTTGGATAGTTTAAATGAAGGCAATCCTTAACAGTGAACGGATGTTAATACAAAACATACAACAACAACAACAACAACAACAAAGCCTTTTCCCACTAAGTGGGGTCGGCTATATGAATCCTAGAACGCCATTGCGCTCGGTTTTGTGTCATGTCCTTCGTTAGATCCAAGTACTCTAAGTCTTTTCTTAGGGTTTCTTCCAAAGTTTTCCTAGGTCTTCCTCTACCCCTTCGGCCCTGAACCTCTGTCCCGTAGTCACATCTTCGAACCGGAGCGTCAGTCGGCCTTCTTTGCACATGTCCAAATCACCGGAGCCGATTTTCTCTCATCTTTCCTACAATTTCGGCTACTCCTACTTTACCTCGGATATCCTCATTCCCAATCTTATCCTTTCTCGTGTGCCCACACATCCCACGAAGCATCCTCATCTCCGCTACACCCATTTTGTGTACGTGTTGATGCTTCACCACCCAACATTCTGTGCCATACAACATCGCTGGCCTTATTGCCGTCCTATAAAATTTTCCCTTGAGCTTCAATGGCCTACGACGGTCACACAACACGCCGGATGCACTCTTTCCATCCAGCTCGTATTCTATGGTTGAAATCTCCATCTAATTCTCCGTTCTCTTGCAAGATAGATCCTAGGTAGCGAAAACGGTCGCTTTTTGTGATCTTCGCTAGATTGCTCCGGTCATTAGTGTGGATAAGTATATAAATGGATAGAGATAGGAAAGCAAGCACAAGATGTACGTGGTTCACCCAGATTGGCTACGTCCACGGAATAGAAGAGTTCTCATTAATTGTGAAGGGTTTACACAAGTACATAGGTTCAAGCTCTCCTTTAGTGAGTACAAGTGAATGATTTAGTACAAATGACATTAGGAAATATTGTGGGAGAATGATCTCGTAATCACGAAACTTCTAAGTATCGGAGTGTGGTGTCGTCTTGACTTGCCTTATCTGTCTCATAGGTAGATGTGGCATCTTCTCTGGAAGTACTCTTTCGCCATCCAGGGGTGGTATCTTTAACTGGTGGAGATGCACAAGGTAATGTATCAATTTCACTTGAACCTTACTTGTAGTTTCAGGCTTGGTCAAGCGCGATACAAACCATGTAGTAGGAGTCCCCCAAGTCGCCGAGCTAGGGGGTCTGCTGAAAGAGGTGACAGACAAGGTAAGCAATCAGAGCTCCGACTGATTGTTCACCTTCTCCCCATCTTGCAGCAGCATGAAGGATAAAGAGAAGAAAAATGAGAAGAGATGATATGAGATACTTTTGCTTTTGAAGAAGTAACTTTCCACAGGCTTATTCTTGAACTGAGCTGGAGGGTTTTCTGGTTTCCTCCAGAGTACAAGGCCGACTGAAGAATTTGAGGGTCAAAACAAGTCCATCAAATCTAGAGTACGTTCCACCCTGCTGATATGGGATATTTTTGCTTTTGACAGAGTAATGGATGTATCGGCACGTGTGCTGTTACGCTTGTCTCCACATGCTTCCTTGTATCCTTCGCACTTGCCCTATCTGTTCTTCAAGCAGATGCGGAATCTTCCCTGGGAACATAAGATGTTGAAGATGAGTACTCGAGAGCAATGCCAGGTAAGTAATCAGGTAAGGGGTTCCAGGCAGTCAGTTCCTGGCTGGAAGCTTGATTCCAAGTGCTGACTGATTGCTCTCCTTCTCCTTGTCTTGCAGGTAAAAACAAGGCCAAAAGAAAAGACAGGGAAAAAGCATGATATGGGATACTCTTGCTTTTAACCCTGATGATATGAGATATTCTTGCTCTAGTATAGCTTGTTTGCAGAGGTATTATCGGGGGGAAAGAAAGCTGAATATTTCGAAAGGCTTCGTTGGGAGTGCCCTCTCAGATATGATGAAGGGTTGAGCATTTTTGCAGGTCTGCCTGTCCGTTGGGGTGGAGGTCGACATATATAGGAGTCTCCCTAACAACAAGTAGTAATGCTATTCCTTTACCCTGCTTGGTCATAGCACGGTAGTGGGAGCTGCCAGTTTCACATGTTTTAACTCTGTCAGAGCACTTTGAAAAAGTGGTCTGTGGTATCTGGCTCTCGAGATTCGGAGAACGATGCCTCCTCGATTTTTGAGAAAGCAATCATGCTGGGAGTCTGACTCTCGAGATTCGAAGAGCAGTGTCTCTCCGATTTTTAAGGAAGTAATCATGTTGGGAGTCTGGCTCTCGAGATTCGGAGGGCGGTGCCTCTTCGGTTTTGGAGCAAGCAATCTTGTTGGGAGTGTTGTCTCGAATGTGAGTAAAGGTTGGGCATGTTTGTTAGTCTACCTTGCCACGAAGCACAAAGGTTGACACACAGGGACTTTCCAATTATCCAGCAATGGTACTGTTCCTTTACCCTCTCTTCGATTTTGAGAAAGTAGTCATGTTGGGAGTCTGGCTCTCGAGATTCGGAGGACGGTGCCTCTTCGATTTTGGAGCAAGCAATCTTGTTGGGAGTGTTTTCTCGAATGTGAGTAAAGGTTGGGCATGTTTGCTAGTCTACCTTGCCACGAAGCACAGAGGTTGACACACAGGGGCTTTCCAATTATCCAGCAGTGGTACTGTTCCTTTACCCTTGTGGGTAATAATATGGTAGCTAGACCTTCAAAATTTATGTGTCTAAACTTTATTAGTGCTGTTTCTTTGCTATTCTTTTACCTTTCTTGGTCAGAGCGATGTAGTGGGAGCTGCAAGCTTCACGTGCTCAACTTTGGCAGAGAACTTTGGCAAAGTTATCTGTGGTACCCATGAGCTATTGTTGCGTGTGGGAAGTGGGTGATTGAACAGTAAGATTCATGAGCTTTCTACTTCACCAGAAGTCTTCGACAGAATGCCCATAATTTCTGCAAAGCTGAGTGTGCGTGTGACAGGTGCTGACAAGGCTAGAAAAGTAGGTGCCTCTTCGGTTTCTGAGATCGGCCCTCGTGGTCTCTGAGCAGCCCAGCTTTTGAGAAAGCGAGCGCCTCTTCGATTGATTCGGAGAACGATGCCTCATCGATTTTTGAGAAAGCAATCATGCTGGGGGTCTGACTCTCGAGATTCGGGGAGCAGTGTCTCTTCGATTTTTGAGAAAGTAATCATGTTGGGAGTCTGGCTCTCGAGATTCGGAGGGCGGTGCCTCTTCGATTTTGGAGCAAGCAATCTTGTTGGGAGTGTTTTCTCGAATGTGAGTAAAGGTTGGGCATGTTTGCTAGTCTACCTTGCCACGAAGCACAGAGGTTGACACACAGGGACTTTCCAATTATCCAGCAATGGTACTGTTCCTTTACCCTCTCTTCGATTTTTAGGAAAGTAGTCATGTTAGGAGTCTGGCTCTCGAGATTCGGAGGACGGTGCCTCTTCGATTTTGGAGCAAGCAATCTTATTGGGAGTGTTTTCTCGAATGTGAGTAAAGGTTGGGCATGTTTGCTAGTCTACCTTGCCACGAAGCACAGAGGTTGACACACAGGGACTTTCCAATTATCCAATAGTGGTACTGTTCCTTTACCCTTGTGGGTAATAATATGGTAGCTAGACCTTCAAAATTTATGGGTCTAAACTTTGTTAGTGCTGTTTCATTGCTATTCTTTTACCCTTCTTGGTCAGAGCGATGTAGTGGGAGCTGCAAGCTTCACGTGCTCAACTTTGGCAGAGAACTTTGGCAAAGTTATCTGTGGTACCCATGAGCTATTGTTGCGTGTGGGAAGTGGGTGATTGAACAGTAAGATTCATGTGTTTTCTACCTCCCCAGAAGTCTTTGACAGAATGCCCATAATTTCCGCAAAGCTGAGTGTGCGTGTGACAGGTGCTGACAAGGCTGGAAAAGTAGGTGCCTCTTCGATTTCTGAGATCGGCCCTCGTGGTCTCTGGGGAGCCCAGCTTTTGAGAAAGCGAGCGCCTCTTCGATTTCTGAGATCGGCCTTCGTGGTCTTTGAGCAGCCCAACTTTTGAGAAAGCAAACGCCTCTTCGATTTCTGAGATCACCCCTCGTGATCTCTAAGCAGCCCAGCTTTTGAGAAAGCAAACGCCTCTTCGATTTCTGAGCAGGCGCCTCTTCGATTTCTGAAGCTCCGTCGAGTGCAGATTTTTATAGGGGCTGGCATTAAGTTCCGAAGCACCCTTGAATCTCCACCAGTAGAAGCTTCATTCTTGCACTTCTAAGATCTTTATTTGTCCGACCTCTTCTCTCTTCAACACCTTTGAAAATGTATGGCCCCTCCGACCGTCGTTTTGACTTGAACCTTGTTGAAGAGGCAGCCCCGCCTTCTCCAGACAACATATGGCGCCCATCCTTCATCTCCCCTACTGGTCCTCTTACCGTTGGGGATTCCGTGATGAAGAATGATATGACCGCTGCGGTGGTGGCCAGGAACCTTCTCACTCCCAAAGATAACAGACTACTTTCCAAACGGTCTGATGAGTTAGCTGTTAAGGATTCGCTGGCTCTCAGTGTTCAGTGTGCAGGTTCTGTGTCTAATATGGCCCAACGCCTATTTGCTCGAACCCGCCAAGTTGAATCATTGGCGGCTGAAGTGATGAGTCTCAAACAGGAGATTAGAGGGCTCAAGCATGAGAATAAACAGTTGCACCGGCTCGCACATGACTATGCTACAAACATGAAGAGGAAGCTTGACCAGATGAAGGAAATCTGATGGTCAGGTTTTACTTGATCATCAGAGATTTGTGGGTTTGTTCCAAAGGCATTTATTGCCTTCGTCTTCTGGGGCTGTACCGCGTAATGAAGCTCCAAATGATCAACCTCTGATGCCTCCTCCTTCTAGGGTTCTGTCCAGTACTGAGGCTCCAAATGATCCCCCTCCGGTGCCTTCTCTTTCTGGGGCTCTACCGACTGCTGAGACTTCTCCTAAGCAACCTTTGTGAAGGCTCCCTCTTGTGTGTTTATTTTGACTCATGTATATGTACATATTTGTAGCTTATCGGGGATATCAATAAATAAGCTTTCCTTCATTTCAACGTATTGTGTTAAATACACCAAAGCCTTCTTCGCTAAGTTCTTTGAATTTTTCTTTTGTTGAAGCTTGTATGTTGAAGCTTTCTGAGTGGAGCATGTAGGTTGGGGTAGTGTTCCCTTAATTTCCCGAGTGAGGAAAACTTCTCGGTTGGAGACTTGGAAAATCCAAGTCACTGAGTGGGATCGGCTATATGAATCTTAGAACGCCATTGTGCTCGATCCTGTGTCATGTCCTTCGTTAGATCCAAGTACTCTAAGTCTTTTCTTAGAGTCTCTTCCAAAGTTTTCCTAGGTCTTCCTCTACCCCTTCGGCCCTGAACCTCTGTCCCATAGTCGCATCTTCTAATCGGAGCGTCAGTAGGCCTTCTTTGCACATGTCCAAACCACCGTAACCGATTTTCTCTCATCTTTCCTTCAATTTCGGCTACTCCTACTTTACCCCGGATATCCTCATTCCTAATCTTATCCTTTCTCGTGTGCCCACACATCCAACGAAGCATCCTCATCTCCGCTACACCCATTTTGTGTACGTGTTGATGTTTCACCGCCCAACATTCTGTGCCATATACAGCATCGTCGGCCTTATTGCCGTCCTATAAAATTTTCCCTTGAGCTTCAGTGGCATACGGCGGTCACACAACACGCCGGATGCACTCTTCCACTTCATCCATCCAGCTTGTATTCTATGGTTGAGATCTCCATCTAATTCTCCGTTCTTTTGCAAGATAGATCCTAGGTAACGAAAACGGTCGCTCTTTGGTATTTCTTGATCTCCGATCCTCACCCCTAACTCGTTTTGGCCTCCGTTTGCACTGAACTTGCACTCCATATATTCTGTCTTTGATCGGCTTAGGCGAAGACCTTTAGATTCCAACACTTCTCTCCAAAGGTTAAGCTTTGCATTTACCCCTTCCTGAGTTTCATCTATCAACACTATATATCGTCTGCGAAAAGCATACACCAAGGAATATCATCTTGAATATGTCCTGTTAACTCATCCATTACCAACGCAAAAAGGTAAGGACTTAAGGATGAGCCTTGATGTAATCCTACAGTTATGGGAAAGCTTTCGGTTTGTCCTTCATGAGTTCTTACGGCAGTCTTTGCTCCTTCATACATATCCTTTATAGCTTGGATATATGCTACTCGTACTCCTTTCTTCTCTAAAATCCTCCAAAGAATGTCTCTTGGGACCCTATCATACGCTTTTTCCAAATCTATAAAGACCATGTGTAAATCCTTTTTCCCATCTCTATATCTTTCCATCAATCTTCGTAAGAGATAGATTGCCTCCATGGTTGAGCGCCCTGGCATGAACCCGAATTGGTTGTCCGAAACCTGTGTCTCTTGCCTCAATCTATGCTCAATGACTCTCTCCCAGAGCTTCATTGTATGACTCATTAGCTTAATACCCCTATAGTTCATGCAATTTTGTACGTCGCCCTTATTCTTGTAGATAGGCACCAAAGTGCTCGTTCGCCACTCATTTGGCATCTTCTTCGTTTTCAAAATCCTATTGAAAAGGTCAGTGAGCCATGTATATACCTGTCTCTCCCAAAAGTTTCCACACTTCGATTGGTATATCGTCTGGGCCTATTGCTTTTTTATGCTTCATCTTCTTCAAAGCTACAACCACTTCTTCCTTCCGGATTCGACGATAAAAAGAGTAGTTTCTACACTCTTCTGAGTTACTCAACTCCCCTAAAGAAGCACTCATTTCATGTCCTTCATTGAAAAGATTATGAAAATAACCTCTCCATCTGTCTTTAACCGCGCGTTCTCTGTAGCAAGAACCTTTCCATCATCATCCTTGATGCACCTCACTTGGTTTAGGTCCCTTGTCTTCTTTTCCCTTGCTCTAGATAGTTTATAGATATCCAACTCTCCTTCTTTGGTATCTAGTCGTTTATACATATCGTCGTAAGCCGCTAACTTAGCTTCTCTGACAGCTTTCTTCGCCTCTTGCTTCGCTTTTCTATACCTTTCACCATTTTCATCGGTCCTCTCCTTGTATATAAGGCTTTACAACATTCCTTCTTAGCCTTCACCTTTGTTTGTACCTCCTCATTCCACCACCAAGATTCCTTTTGGTGTGGGGCAAAGCCCTTGGACTCTCCTAATACCTCTTTTGCTACTTTTCGGATACAACTAGCCATGGAATCCCACATTTGGCTAGCTTCCCCCTCTCTATCCCACACACATTGGGTGATTACCTTCTCTCTTTGAAAATGGCTTGTTTTTCTTCTTTTAGATTCCACCATCTAGTCCTTGGGCACTTCCAAGTCTTGTTCTTTTGTCTTACTCTTTTGATATGTACATCCATCACCAACAAGCGATGTTGATTAGCCACGCTCTCTCCTGGTATAACTTTGCAATCCTTACAAGTTATACGATCCCCTTTCCTCATTAGAAGAAAATCTATTTGTATTTTTGACGACCCACTCTTGTAGGTGATCACATGTTCTTCTCTCTTCTTAAAGAAGGTATTGGCTAAGAAGAGATCATATGCCATTGCAAAATCCAAGATAGCTTCCCCATCCTCGTTTCTCTCCCCAAAACCATGGCCACCATGAAAACCTCCATAGTTGCCTGTCTCCCTGCCCACGTGTCCATTTAAATCTCCTCCTATAAATAACTTCTCCGTCTGAGCAATTCCTTGCACCAAGTCTCCAAGATCTTCCCAAAATTTCTCCTTCGAACTCGTATCCAACCCTACTTGAGGTGCGTACGCACTAATCACATTGATAAGTTCTTGTCCTATTACAATCTTGATTGCCATGATTCTATCTCCTACCCTCTTGACATCTACAACATCTTGTACCAAGGTCTTGTCCACGATGATGCCAACACCGTTTCTCGTTCTATTTGTGCCCGAATACCAAAGTTTAAACCCTGAGTTTTCTAGATCCTTTGCCTTACTACCAACCCACTTAGTTTCTTGTAGGCACATAATATTTATCCTTCTCCTCACCATAACTTCCACTACTTCCATAGATTTTCCCGTTAAGGTTCCTATATTCCACGTTCCTAAACGCATTTTGCTCTCTTGAACTCTACCCTTCTGTCCTAGCTTCTTCACCCTCCCCGTCTAATAGGATCAAAGTACTTCTTTTGTGTGTCCCGGGTAAAGTTGATAGGAGCATATGCTCCCAAACAACTTTGAGTGGAGTCGTTCGAAAAGAAGTTTCTATGGCCCCCTTGCTCATTTAACACTGCATCCGGGTGCCGATGGAGATACAGCGACCCTTGCTCACTTATCACTGTGCTCGGGCCACACAGCGCGCCACTTACGGGTGACGCCCTAGCTTTAGCGCGATTTTGTTCTAGATTCATTTTCATAAGGATTCGACGTGATCATGGAGTGCCGGCTGTCGACTACCTGACGCCCTCCCCCTCCTCCTTTATCCGGGCTTGGGACCGGCCATGTAAGACATAGGCGGAGTTATGTTAATACAAAACATAAATAAAAAAAAATACACCAGCAGCCCAAGAATAAAACTTAAACAGTCTGCATAAGGCCTAGCTTGTAGTCTTGAAACTTGTGGGACCCCAATACAGAGGGGGTAAAAATTTTATTCAAAGCCTTCCAACATAACATATAGGAACCGACCAGATACAGCACCTACAGTTGACCTTTCAATATGGCATGTGTCAGAACTCAGAAGTTATCAAGGCTTTTTATCTCTGTACTAAATTTTTCTATGTTACACTGGATCTCATTTTCACCCCACATTCACAACTCAAATGAAAACTCCGAAAGAAACATAAATATGCGTTAATATATTACTCAAATAAACTATCTATCTTGACAACTCCATAGTTTTAACCAACTGTTATGTTTAGCTCGCAAATAGCACAGAGAAATAGAGAATAGGAACACCTCAAAAAACAATTATTTAAAGCCATGGCAGGTAAAATCAAAAGACAGCAATAAACAGCAAAAGAACACAGACAGATGGTTCAAATCAACCTTTGCAGAATATAAATCAATCACAGTTGGAGTGTGCTCTATGGCCTCATCAATTTTCGATAGAGCCATGTCATATTGACCTCGTCTATCATAATGCTGCATCAGCACAAAATCTATAAGTACATGTGAATTCAAAGCATTAAGAATCGAAGGTGTAGAAGCACCAAGGAGAAAAAAAGGCCATATATTCGAAGACTGACAGTCAACCTGAGCCAATAAAAACAAGGCCCACAAAAGGGTCGATGGGGGCTCCTTCTCTACCCTGCATCCAAGATGAAAAGAAACAGCACATGAGCATAAACAAATACTAAGAGAACCCCAAGGCACAATATACAAAAAAGTGTACACATTAATAAAAACGAATAGGACCCATAAGAGAGAATAATATTCAAGGAGTCTAAAACCCATTACATCAGTTATAGCTTTTCAGTCAGCAAGGAGGGATACGACAATAATGATGTAATGCTTATCCAGATGACATGGTTTATACCTAATTCATAATTTCACATGTAATAATTACAGCCACATATTACCTCCCAGGGTATCGACCAGTCATCCTAACTGACTGTTCCAACTCAAGAATAAGTTGTTCCAGAATGTCTGCCTGGATAAGAGTTTCCAAAATAAAAATTTGAACCCAATGAGTAAATAACCCCAAAAATACAATTTACTTCCCCACAACCTCCTCAAAATTCAAACCATAATACCAATTGATTAGACTAACCTTTCCAGGGTGATCATACAGAGGAGAAAGATCAGAGAATAATGAAGGAACTCCCTAGAAACATCAAAAAGATCTGTCAAAATTTAACTCCAAAAGTTGGGCAGTTGGATAAGAACTGCAAATGACTGTAGCTACCTTAGTAAGGAGAGGCCTGATATAATTATCTGCAGCTTCTCGAAACTTGTCACCTTGTAAGAAATCAAGTGGTATTCTCTGTTTGAAGAAAACAGGAACGTTAAGATGGTAGAGATAAAGTAAACATGAAATTAAACAAACACCACACCCCAAAATTTGAATAATGTGGGAACGCTAAGATAGTATAAGATAAAATAAAAATTCTAAATGAGGAAAAAAGAATTAGCATTAAAAACATCAATAAAGAGAATGTGTTACCTTAACAGCCGACGACCAACTGTATTTCTGTGCAAGGGATTTGTACAAGGCATCCAAGTGTTCAATTTCATCAAGTGAATACTGGGCATTCTCTGCATACAGCCCAAGACATTTTTGCAGGCCTTGATAATATCTGACCATTGAAAAAGCAACTAATTAAACTCACCTTAAACAATAGGGACTGTGTAAGAGAAAGATTACATGGTACATAGTAATACTTTCAACCAAAATCCAAGTCAACAATATTAAAAAACCTAAAGCAGAAAAGATGAACACTATCATGAGATGACCAGGGTCACACACCATTGATTGAGGGCGTGTTTATTGGGAAGGAGAAAGAAACCTGTTCAGTGTTTACTTTCAATAAAAGAATCAAAAGGCATGTGGGATCCACAAGAACCCACATAAATTAGAGATCTCATTCTCGTTGTTTCCACTCCTGTTGGGGTACTTGGGATTGGGAATCATTCCACCAGGAGTCAACGTTAATGTAATACCAACCCCAAGTAACATTCTTCTCTTTAACTTGCTTAATCAATAAAGTTGTTGTTCTATGATAGCATAGCATCAGCAATACTAAGGTTCAAAAGTAAAATAAAATCCGACTACTGTTCTCAAGAATCTCAACTCAAACTAAGCACATGTCGTTCCTCCCACAAAATTCTTGCACCTCATCTAAATACCTAAAAAGAAATTTAGGACTTGTAAATGGTTTATTAAATGCAAACATGGAAAGTGAAAAATGGACATTACCGATAGTTGTCAGGATTCATTTTAAGCAACACCCTATACAATTCAGCACCTTCTTCTAGGTAACCAAGCTTCACCAAAAGAGAAACCTCTTGTTCTTTATAATCCAACCTATCAACCTAGAAAACAATCAACAAAGAATGGTTACAACCAGAAGCCACTAATATTCAGAGCATGAAATCAAACAGCCCGTATTGACCAGAAAAATTGAAATACACACTTACAATTCTTGACTCTTTCTTGTGCAATTCCTCAAGAGCTCTCTCAATTAAGCTACATTCCTCTAACAACGAAATCTAGAAACATTCACAGACAAACATCCAAAACTTATGAGGTAGCCACCAAAAATACATTAATTTGCATGAAAGTAGAAATATCTGGTACCATAAAAAGCTAATGGAGTCATGCTGGCAGAATTATGAAGAACTAGGCATGATTATGCATAATGAAATTTTCCAAATTTTGAGTTATTCCTAGCTTGAACACTGGCACCATTTATGACAAGAACAAAAAAAAAAGAAAAACAGTTTCCCAAATCACTTCATATGATTTTTAAGAAAGATATATAGAAAGCTTTACTTCAAGAAGGATAATTAAATTGTTATGGCTATTATGAAAAAGAATGATGATTGAAAGGTTACAACTATTATGAAATATGTTCTTTTGGTGATACCGCTACCCGTGAATAGAACGTCAGTCATTACAAAGTAGAAGTCTTTTCTTTTCCTCTTCTCAAAAATAAAATAAAATAAAAAAGTCTTTTTTTTCCTTGTGATATAACAGCTCAGTAGTGATCAAAACTTGACCTGACAAACACCAACTTTATCTTCCAATTTCAGCCATTTAAGTTCTTTTGAATCTTTCCATGGCTTATACAAACTCCAAAACATATTCATCAAATACACTTAATATAAAATACTTATAAGAATTACTTATAAATTATGTTTAAAATAGTTAACTTATTTCAAACCAAATTGATCTAATCATAGTAACTCATTACTTCTGACATGTTAACAGTATCAATAGATTTATATTAAAGGGCACGCCTCCTCTCCATTTGTATAGGAAATGAAGAGGTACAGTTAATTGATACGGACAGTTTAGTGAACAGATCCCCAATACTGGAAGCATACCCCTCTACAGGACCCAGACAATTCACACATGGACTTACAATTCCAGATCATACAGGCCTTCTTCATTTCGTACTGCAAACGGAGAGCAGTTGAACCTATAGGAAAAGCATCAATGAAAAATACCTTATATAAAAGCATCTCCCCATGCTCACAACGCTCATTATCTGGAGGATAATCATCTTCTAGAGTCCCTTCATATGCTTCCAGAATTTCAACAGCTTTTAAAGCACTAACAGATAACAAATAAGTTTGTTGAGTGTACTACTCACTGTGAAATTCAAAACATCAAAGGTTATGATCCATACTTTGAATTTAAATGATGGGAAACAGCAAAGCCAATCCAATTCATGCGATGATTTGGTTTCAAAGTCAGAAGTTGCTGCCTTGTCTCAACAAAACCGCTCAAATCCCGCATTTGAGCCTGTAACATGATGGGAAAATGCATCAGTAGCTAATTGAAATTTGTATAAATAAATCAAACAAAAAAAAGCCAAAGTTTGTAGTAGAAAGCACAATAGAAAGAATAAAAATGTAACAAAAGCATCACATCAGTAGCAACAAAACTAGTGACACCAGTAAAATGTGTATGTGAAGCAGAAAAAACCCTGATGGACTTGAGAATTAACACGAATATACAGAACTTCTACACCCCTGTACTGAAAAATGTTTGAAGCTGCTGTGAACCTGTAAGGTAGACTCATCTTATTAAGGTGTTGAGTGGAAGCCTGATACATTACCAAAATCCTAATGCAAGCGATCAAAATATTTTCTTATATAAATTCTCTTTTCTACAAGTCTAATAGATCCCAGGCAACAAGTATAAACCTATTTATAATACATAGATTTACATATACATATATATTGAAATTATTATCTCCATACATTAAAAAATGTCCTCATCGTCCTTAATGAAATGTAGCACAATCCCTTTTGGTGGTAAAGTCCAGAGATCCATAAAGAATATTAATTTAGGTATGACAGACAGCCAAATAATTCATCAACTATGGACCAACTCTCCAATAGCAGCCAAACCTATGTGTGCTGTTTAGCCACTTCTGACATTGACTTCATTTTGCACCACCCTTGAATTTGCGTCAAAAATGGTCAACACTTTATGCATTACGCTTTCTCCTCACATATGAAAAACTTATCCATGTTATTCCAAGTTTAATTCAAAGCTTTATTTACATGCCTATTAGAGCAATGAGGTCACAAGATTTGGAAGCTTTCTCTCCTCTCCGCTATCCCAAACTCAGTCACTCTTTTTATAAAACCTTTTGTTAATTCTACACAAGTCTGACTTTATAATAGTCAGCAGTTCCTGCCGATATTTTGGCAAATAAAATCTCAATGAATCTAAACAATCATCATTTGGTACCCATAATGCATCCTGTTACTTTTCCAGACATGCATTAACTTCCAATATTGGTATAATGAGAGAAAACAGGAAATATCATCAATTATGCAAAAACACTCGACTCATAACATTTCAATTTCAAATAACAAGACATATGTAGCCATCGGTAGGTTGGGAAATGTAAAGTCATGCGCCAATGTCAGACACTGATAAGTTACAATGGCTCTGTTTTATGTTTTTTAGGCAACACTATCGTCTTGTTGCATGCAAGTTGATAAGAAAAATTCAACAGAGGCATTTACTTGGTTCTAAGCTTTAAGTGACATCTAATGTATACCTGTAGGAGTGACAGATCACGGAGTATTTCAATATTGTCTGGATCTATCCTCAGAGCATTTCTGTAGCATTTTATTGCCTCCCTGTATTCTCTGTCTGACCGATAAAGAAGACCATAAACATGCCAGCAAACATGACTTTTCAGGTCATTCTGGGTAAAGAAAGACATAAAGGTAAGTCACATAAATTACAGAGTAATTAGGAATTATCTGGGAAACAATCCTAAAATATAAAAAGAGTTGAAACAACATCCTGACCTTCAGTCCTATCCGGACAAGTTCATATGCTTCAGATTTGCGGTCCATGCAATTTAATGTTAGCCCCTTCATTGATAATGTTTCTGAAAGGGTAGCATGAGTTCATAAGTTTGATCTTTTATTTTATCAGGAATCGGAAACAGAGTATTTTTCTAACAAAAATTTTAGTATATTTACATTCAAGGTCAAATCAGTCTACCATAGACAAAAACAGCGAGTAAAATCACAACCTAACTAATGACTTTAATATCACCAGCATTGTGCTTTCATTAATTATCAGTCTAATTTTCTGAGAAGTGCTATTCATCAGTCTAAATTTAACCATTTGGACAATAAGGGATAGATAACAAAGTATTTTGATGTTAAGCAATCATCTTTGAGCTCAAGAACTTCAATCATCCCACAGTTTCATATATTTCTTGCATTTAAATTGTACTGGGTCTTTTTCTTTTGAGAACAGTAATCTTCCATATCACCTGTCCTACTAGATTTGTGGCACCCATGGCTTTTCTTTTCAGAGTTCGCTAATTCCCACAGAGCGCATTAAACAAGTCAATGAGAATAAAAAGGTCGTACCCAGTGCACAAGGCTCCCGCTTTACGCAGGGTCTGGGAGAGGTCAATGAGAATGTCTAAATAAAAATCTCATCTAGTGCCGATGAAACTAAGACATAATATCAATGTATTAAAAGCGTGAGGCGTGGGCGAGGCGTCCGAGGGATAGCCCAGCCTAGGCGTGAGGCGTGAGGCGTAAGGCGAAGCCTTACGGGACCTTAAATAATAGGGAATTGCTCAGAAAAACAGAGGAAAGAGGTGAGAAAAACAGAGGAAACAGCAGGGTTTTAGATATAAGAGTAACAGACTTGGCCAAAACGACGTCGTTTTGGGCCAAGTCATTTAAAAAAAATTAAAGACTTGGCCAAAACGACGTCGTTTTGGACCAAGTCTTTAAAAAACAAAAAAAAACCCTCCTTCTTCTCCGCGGTCGTCTTCCTCGTGAAGACGCCGCACACCTGCAACCCTAAACCCAGATGGCAGAGCTTGAAAACAGAGCATTCGACTTCGATTTTGGGTCGGGGATGGATCTGGGAACGCCCTCCAACCGCCTTTAGGCGCGCCTCAGCCGCCTAGTCTCGCCTCGACCACGCCTCGGCGAGTTTTCGCCCACTCCCACTGGGCAGAGGCGTTATCACTCCCGCCCCGCCTCCAAAGCCGTCTAGGCGCGCCTTGGGGCGCGTCTTTTAAAACATTGCATAATATTCACATAAAGCATTTTTGCTAGAATATCAAAGTTACATATACATTTTATGTAAAATTGAGTATATTTGAATTAAAACAATAAATCAAAGGAACCGTCTCAGTAAAAAAAAAAAAAAAAAAAAAACAGATCATTTACTTGGGCCAAAAAATAAGCAATTTTAAATTAAACATCTCATTTAGTAAAGGCTGTAAGCATACCTCCATGGTCTGGAAACTTTTTCAATATGGCGTCTGCTGCCTTCAGTCCCTTCTTATATTGTTTAGTTTCATATGATTTCTACAATAATGCAAACAAGCAAAAACAGGTTTAAATTAGTAGTAGCAGAAAAGACTTCAGACACTAATGATGTGTGATACGTAAATTATAAGAGATATAGGACGCATTGCCAATTATTATCACCATAGTAATCTAACAACAGGCTAAAATAACAAGACCCAGCATCATAATCATAGCTAAAGTGGAAAAGTCAGCAGGTAAATAAAAATAATCTGCGCTAATAACTTGGATACTAATTTCGACCAAAACAAAATTTACGTAAAACTTTCTGGATGTATCTCTTTCTTCTACCAAGACAGCTCATATAATGGAAACGAAAAGGTAAAACTATATGAGGATTTTTTGTTACTGTCCACAAAACAAATCCAGAGGTTAAATGTAAGTGCAGTCGTGACTCGTGATAAGGTCAACCTGAGTTAAAGTCTCTGTAAAAGGCTAGCATTCCATATTAATCATCCGGGATTAGAATCAGCACCACATGGATAGACAATATTTAACCAACTTTACGTTCACCACAGAGCTTTGGAGTGCACATTTTCTCAATTAAGCTTAAGAATGTAACACCGTGGTGCAACAAATTACCAGAGACGGTAAGTTATTTCATATAAATTTTTACTTATTGATTTGTTCATAATAATCACTACCCAGTTCAAAATTTCACTTCTCAATTGCTTTCTTCTACTCGAAAACTCAATCTTTTAACCGATGCAGTACCAAAAGTAATAATCTTTACACTCACTAAAACCAAAGAAAACTAACAAAACTTAACCGGGTATCCCTCCCTACCAATGAAAACCAAACAAATCAGCCACTGCCGGAATTACAGAATACCCAGTAGACTTAACCATTCATTTAGTTCAAAACCCCAAAAATAAATCAGAAATAAACCCAATTACTACACTTTACTGATGCTCTTTAATTCTTGAGCAAGATAGAATACAGTATACAAGCAAAGCACAGAATCGCACACAAAATCTAGGGTTTTGCTTCTTTTCATCTTCTGCGATTGCGTTAGTGAGAACAAGTGATAAAACTTGAATCCTAGCGATTATCAGTAAGAGAGAGAGCGGAATCGGAGCTTACGACTATGAGCTTGAAGAGGTTGGCCTCTTTGGGGGGGAGTGAGGCACCCATTGTTGCGGTTAAAGAGAAAGGGCCTCACGTCCTAGAGTGCCCGGAGAGGTTCCGAGTGTGGCGTTCGGCGGTGATGAGCTGCGTTCAGAGAAAGAGGAAGAAAATGGTGGCGTTTATCTGCTGCAACCCTACGGTGAAGGAGAAGCAGAGAGAGAATGATATAATAAGACCTCGAAGTTTTTGGGATTTTACTTCTGTTTTTCCTTTTCTTTTTCCTTTTTTTTTTTATAATTTTTGGTAGGAGAGGTTTGGGAGTTTCTACGAAAGAAGCTTATGCATTTTATTTCTATTTGTTGTACGACTAATTTGGTATTGTTGTGCTTTGAAAAAAAATTGTTTCTGATGTGCTGTGAGAATAAGCAACTGTGAAATAAAGCAACAGAGTGTTGGGTAAACTTTTTTGTAAAAATTCTTTTGAAAAAAAAAAAACGGTATTATAGTGTTTGGTAAACTTTTATGTAAAACAGATGTGAAAAAAAGCCGGTTTTTCAAAGCTGTGTTTTGTAGCTTCTTGTTTTTGGCTTTTTTTCACCCAAAACTGTGAAAAAAAAAGTTGAAGCTGAATGTTTACCAAACACTAAAAAACTCCCAGCTTTTTTCAAAATCATCTTAGTACCAAACCAGGGTGTAGAGTGTGAATAGTACACATGTTATGAGAAATTTTATTTGAACCCATATAACCTCTTTTTACATTTAATTTATTCTCTACACTCATATTACTTTTAAATAAACTATTAATATCTCTTTAAACTCAATTCAATTTATAAAATTTATCTTTGCATTGCTCCCATTCAAAAAATAAAAACCCAAAAACAATGTTATTCAACTCATTCAAGGCTTGAAGAGCAATATCTCTCACATTTGTCTCGAGCGTAATCCTTTTTTGGCTTCATATTTGTCACTCTGATATACAAAGACAAAGACCTGGTGGATATTGGATATGGTGCAATACTGGCCACTTTGATATACAATTGAGTCAAGTTTAAAAAATTGTATCATCTCAATACTAAGTTATACAAAATAGGCAACGTGCAGTTTAGAAAGAATAAAAATAGTTTGTTGTGTGCTCTCCACATAAGATTGTATTTTTATCAGAAAGTCACTACTTTCTCATAAACAAGTACATACTAATCTATGGGGATGCTATAGTTGTCAGCCAAAAGGCCAATAAAATTACATCTCTAGCCTAGGCTATAAATTGAACATTTATTTTATTTCCGACTTTAACTTAGATTTATCTTCTAAGTGTGTGTCACAATTCTAAGTGTGTGTCACAGTGAAGGTGCTAATTTTGTTCCTAAATACCAAAAAATTGAAATTAAAATATAAAAAAAATTGCATAAATCAATTCATACCTTAATTGGAAAATTCAAAACTTCAAAATCAATATCCTTTGTTCAGGAAGAGTATGTTTTTCTCTATGAAAGCGTCTTAGAATTTTAGCTAGAATGAAGATAAAGATTGTGTGACAGTAGGGTTTGATGTGATGATAGGGTTTCATTATTGAGTGGGTTTAGTGATAAATTGTAATTTTATAGTTAATTTCATCTTGTACTTTATTGTAATTAGGTAAAAGACAATTCACATTTAAAATTTAAGTTGGGTGTAGAAAGAGATTATATGCGTTCAAATAAAATTTCTCACATGTTTTTCACTTGGAAATTAGGTGGGTTGCGGTTAATGGTAAGGATATCTTCTTTTTAACTCATCATAGGGTTTTTACTTATCGACTATTTCAACTAATCCCTGAAAATCAACAACAAAGCATAAATTAGAACACTAAAAGGAGTGAGTTTATTGATAATAAGAGTTGGGATAGCATTCGTCTCTCTCGAGTGTCGAACCTAGATGTTGTGGGAAAAATTGTATGGTGCCTATTTCCCTTCAAAATAAAAGTGATAGTTTGGTGTGGAAACATTCCTCTACTGGTGCGTTCTCAATTAAGTTGGTGACTTGGATTCAAAGTAATAATAACCAAGAAGTTAAAAGGCAGAAGCTCCTTAAGGAGATATGGAAGTTAATGATACCTCCCAAGGTAAAAATTTTGCATGGCTTCTTACTCATGAAAAACTTCATACTAGGATGAGATTGAGTAAATTTATTCAGAATATTGACAAATTGTGCCCTATGCGTGGCAATGAGGATGAGACTTGTTGATGCACAAAATCAGCGAGGACTTTGGTACAACAGAAAGTATTAAGTTTGTGACCTTTGCTAGATTGCTCCGGTCACTAGTGTGGATAAATATGTAAATGGATAGAGACAAGGAAGCAAACATAAGATGTACGTGGTTCACCCAGATTGGCTACGTCCACGAAGTAAAGGAGTTCTCATTAATTGTGAAGGGTTTACACAAGTACATAGGTTCAAGCTCTGAGTACTAGTGAATGATTTAGTACAAATGATATTATGAAATATTGTGAGAGAATGATATCTATTTATAGAATAGGGTTTCTAATTTCATTCTGACATTGACACGTGTCGTGTTGTGATTGGTTTCTAATGTTCACACGTGTTGCGCTATGATTAGCTTCTGATGTCGACACGTGTCGTGCTATGATTGGCCTCCTGATTGGAGAGAAACTCTTCTGGGTCTTTGACGGTATAACGTTGATCGGTGCTCAGTAGTTTCGGGATTGGTCAAGTATGGTACAAACAAGACTCAAAATCACCTTTTTCTTAATTGCGAGCATGCTAAAGAAACATGGAACCCTTCTTCGGTAAATCCTTGGAAGAATAATTTGACTCAGTTTAATAATGTGCTAGATTGGATGAAGCTAAGTGACAATGTTGAATGCAATGGTTTGAGTGATCTTAGTAAAGCTATTATGAATTGTTGGCAAATGTGAAATGATAGAAATAATAAAGTTTCTAGAAGTATGATTCCTAGTCCGGCTAGGAGTATCTCCATTGCCGCAAGTGTAGACTTATCTTTTTTTAAGGTTAATTGTAAGAAGATCTTTAAGGGTGATCCTTGCCACCAACACCCCATTTGCTAGTCCTCCTCCTCATGATTATGTGAAATTAAACTTTGATGGATCTGTTAGTTTGGATCGTCATGCAGCTGCTGTTGGTGTTGGGGCATTGAACTTTGATGGCGCCACCACTTCGGTTGTGGAGGCCGTTGCTTTAAAGGAAATGTTTTTGTTCACCAAGCACAAAGACTAATGGTGGAAAAGGTTCCAAGCTAGTCATCCAAGTGGTGCAAGATGTTTGGATGCCCCATTGACATCTTGCAGCACCCCATCGCTCTCCTTGTCGGATAAATTGACCACATGTTATTGGCACTCTCCTCCGCTGCGCTAAGGAATCTGATGTGGAATTTTTTGTATCAAAACAACGGTTTTTATCTCGATATTTTTGCAGTCCTGATAGCATGAACATTCACCATAATGCATCACTCAACTTTACGTTTACAAATTTTAGATTATGCACATATTGTTGATGCATTACATTCATAATTGTTAAATTATACAATCTGGAAATTGAAAAAAAAACAAAAATTAGCATTTCAGTGGAAACCCAACTAGTAGCAACACGACTTCTCGAGCCGAGCCACGAGACCAAACCATACAGCCATAGGCTCCAGGTTTTGCAACACCCAGAAACCTAACGTCATCCATGGCATCATCGTCACTGACCATTGTGGGCATGGCCTGCAACCAATGCCCAACCACCTTTGGTCACTGTCACCGATGACCAGAAGGCGTCTCTGACGATTCTCTGACCAAGATTCGTTTGAATCTCATGGAATTTTTCGAAATTCCGATTTGAATTTTCTAGGGTTTTGGTTCTTAAATGTCGAGATTCACTTTTCTCCATTCATATTCATGATCAAAGTTGTATCACAAACTCGCCCTGAGTTTTTTCGACAAAAAAACCGCCTAAAACGGTGGCGCAGGTTTTCTTCTCCAGCAAGCACACTCAGCAGCACTTGGGATGTTTTCATGGTCCATTGTGCCTTAATTTGGCCCTGGCACTTTGGGCTGCAATAACTAGAAAGAAAAAAAAAATCTCTCTTGGGCTTGCTTGCAGCAGCCCGCTGTAGCTACCTTGCTTGGTTCGTATTGACACTACCCTGCGTGGTTACCATGTCTCCCCTGCGCTGCATCGCACCAAGTCTCAGCCTATATGGCTGCGACACTAGTGCACCATGAAGCACATGATCATTGCTCTTATTGGGTTGCTAATTCCTGCCCACTTTGTTGGGCATGCTTCATGCAGCCCAGAAGGCCTACTGACTTCCTCCATGCAGCTTAGCCCGTGTACTAACCTAACCCATATTTGGTCATGGGCCTCACGAGAATTTTTTTAAGCCTTCTGTGGGCTTTGATCCATTCTTGGCCATAGAATTTTTTGCCTTAATTTTTTTAGGCAATATTGGGTTTATATTTTTTCTGAAATTTCCCAATTGGCCCTCCAATAATTATAAACTTTGTGGGTTTATATATCGTAGGCCCTGAAAACCTACACACATATATTTTTTGCATATTTTTCTATATATATCTGTGTTTGCTTGTAGGAACCTATGAACATGAAGTTCATAAACTTTTTAAAACCCCAAAGTTTTCGAAAAGCATGCCTTGAAAACCCGAAGTTTCTTAAAACATACACCCATGAAAACCTTAAGTTTTTTCATGAAATTTAAACCAATACATGTCTAATGAATCCAAATGTTCTACTCCTATGTGAATGGATTGATTTTGTCTCCATTGCACTAACCACAATCTTGTCCATTTATTTTGTGACAAGGATATGTTGAATTTGAATAAACTTGACTTTACTGCTTTAGAGGTTTGCGGAAGAAACCTATCTCAAGTGGGTCCAAAGCTCCCCCTCACCGCTAAGAATCTTAAAAAATAAATAAAAGCTAAGATGGATAACCCGGTTAGTGAAGCTGAGAAAGTCATTGTCGTGATCTTCATTCGAAGACACATTTATGACACACTGCAAACCGAGTACCTCGCTGAGGAAGATCCACGAGCTTTATTGGTTGCTTTGGCGGATCGTTTTTATCACCAAAGAGACATTTTCTTGCTTGAAGCAAGACACAACTGGCAGCACTTGTGCTTCCAAGACTTTAAGTTTGTATGAATACAATTATGAAGTTTTCCAAATTCGATCACTTCTCAAGTTTTGTAACGAGGACTTGAACGAAGATGATCTCCTAGAGAAGACCTATTCGACATTCTCTGTGACCATATCGTCAGGCAGTAACAATATATCACTCAGAAGTTCACTAAGTTTTCGGATTTGATCTTTATTTTACTTCTTGCTGAAAAACAAAATTAGATCTTGATGATGAATCATCAAGCTTGACCTATTGGAGTGACCACTGTGCCTCAACCATACAATAGCGAGAATCGACGCTGGAACTATCATTCTAGGCGTGGTAGGCACGGCTAGAAGCCGTCCAACCAAGGTCAATAGAGCCAAGGCTCATCTAAGGGAGGAAACCAAGCCCAAAAGCATTCTAACCTCGCTCTCAAGGCCTTGAACTTCAAGAATAAGGGCAAAGCACCTATACCATGGATGCAGACATGTGCTACTGCTGTGGTTCGAATGACCATTGGTCCTGTGTTTGCTGAGCTCCTCCCAAGGTCGTAGGTGAGTATCATTCTCGTTGTAAAGAAGTTTGAATCAAACTTTGCTCAAGTGGATGAACCGGACAATACAAAGATAGAGGTTTCTGACTTTCAGAAGGAAGTTGTCCTAATGGAAGATTAGATTCTTAGACATGACACATTTGGCTGAATTTTACCCCTTAGGATCGAATTCCACTATGTGGCCAAATTTTACCCTTGCAGCTGCCTTGCACAATCCTGGCCTATAAGAAAAGGTTTAATTTGGCAGAGCCAACAAGGGTAGTAGGTTAGAGTGAGTTTGAGCAAACTGGTGGTGTTGAACGGGGAGGGACGAACGCATAGCAGCAGTGGAGGTCATAAAAACAGGTAGAGGATTGTGAGGCAGATGTAAGAGAAATATGGCTGATGCCTTGTGATATATTACTTCTCGAGGTTCATTGATTGAATTACTAATACAATATATAGGAGATTCTAACCTTTTTATCAGTGAACCAAAAATTAACAACTACAGTCACCAAGCTAAAACTTGCTTTTTGTTTAGGATGCTCACTTTAAATACAATATTATAAAAAAGGGTAATGCCAAGGAGATCAAATTTGCAAACTAAATGATATGTCATCAATAGAAAATAACCACACTAATTAACACTTAAATAATAATCCAATCATCAATGTTCATATTATTTGGTTTACAAAATTTGGTTTAGAAATTTGGTCTCCTTAGCATTACGCTTTTAAAAAATGATTAACAAAATTGAGTAGAGAGTATGAGCAAACCCTCAATATCCCTAATTGACAGAAATCGCAAAGATTTTGATGTGGGGTTTAAGTAGAGAAGGTGGGGGGGGGGGTTGTGTATGTAGAGTGTGAGGTGTAGGGATAATATTGGGAAGTAAGTGGAATGTATTAAGATAAACTTTAATTTCAAAAGTAAATGTGGTGTGTATTAAGCATATGAAGTGTAGTCAACAAAAAGTGAGATGTATTTAAAACAAGATGTAGGTTTCCTTGTTCTCAAAGTATTATTTTTACCTATTTGGTATGGTTTAATTATTTAATTAGGCTTGTATTTTGTTGTCTATAGAGAAAATCATAAATGTTTGTTGTTTTAAAATTAATCAATAAGCTTATTGCTTAGTTGACCTCATCTATTTTTTTAAGCACATTTACCTTCCTTGGTTCTCTCTCTTTTATTTTATTTTTAATTACAAGTGATGTTTTATTAAAGGGACATAAAAGGGTTTGAACTTAGAACGCAGTGGGTTGAAGAGAAAGCTCCTAACCAAGTTGGAAATGATAATGTGGAAAATCTATACACAGGATGGTGGGTACCTATCTGAATTTTCATCTAAGATTAGCAACATTCAGTATTATAAGCTTCTAAATATGCATTTTGGTGATTAATGGCTTGTTTCGAAGTGCTTTTAACATGATTAAAATTTTTTTTGGTACAAGTGCTTTTGAGTTTTGAGTTCCGAAGGCTCTTGAAGTGCATTTTGAAAGAAGCACCAATTATACGCTTCTTATAGGAAACTTCAAGTGCTTTTTCAAGATTTACTTGCATTTTTACTAAGATTGGTTCCAAAAACACTTTCATTAAAAACGATTTCAATCATTTAAAAGCATTTCCAAACACAACCTAAGTTAACGGTTTTGTGCTTCAACCACACAATATAATACAAATTTCTTCAACGCATTTTATGCACGCGTAAGCAAAGATCCATCCCTTAAGAAAAATTTGCGAAAACTTTACAGTTATTCATCTACATCAGAGATGGTTTAAACAGCATTAGCGATCTTAGAAGCTACATTATTATATGCATGGTCTATTTCCTCCTCTGTCATCTCAATTGTATCATCACTGTCGTATCCTGCTGCACCACTGCATATACCTTCAGTTTTCCCAGTGTCCCTCTCTTGTCTTTCCACCTTTGGTTTTTTCTTTGAGGACTCATCACCAAAACCATTAAGTTCCGCCTCGTAAATTTGTTTACAGTCCACAGCCTGTTTGCAGAGATCTTCCTTGGATACTGCCGCAGAGTTATTTCCGATGCCCTCGAGCTTTGCCAACTCTTCGACTACACGAGGGATGAAATTCCACTGCTCAGTTATTTTCCGGACATCCTGCGAAGCACAAACAAATTCATCAAACAGAAATTGGATTCGAGGATGAAGCAACATTGTTTTATCTAGTCACAAATGCCATCATTGAACTTGCAACGGAATAGTGGAAAGAATCAATGGGTATCTGTTGAAGAAATTAAACGATATAGTATTGTCACTTCTTAATAAGATCAATCATCATGTAACAGGATGACCGCAAATCCTATTTCAACTAGGATGTTGTCAAGTTCAAGCTCTAACAAGGCTAACAAGAGTCAGTTACAGGAAATGCAGAGATGCCGAATGTGAGCGTGCCCAGCTTTGAATGATCTAATGATCAAGTCAATTCCTATGGATCCCATATTTATAGAAAAAAAATGTCCCTGTTTAATGGGTTTCCCATTTTCAGTGGACTGAATCGAGCATGGCCCAAATTATGTATACATGAGCACAAGCTGTCTTTACAAAATAAATGCAGACATAGTGGGCTAAAAAAAGAAAGGTATAAGGAACTTGTGATTGGTTTTAATCAAGAAAATATAGGATAGTGATCACCATTGTAAAAGTCATATATATTAGAGAGAAAATATATGAAGTATTGGTCACTCTTGTGAAATTAAAAACGATTGTTGTGCATACGGAGATCAAAATTCGTAAAATGAATACCTCATTGATTGTTTCAATATCAGATAATGTGATTCAACAAAGATGTCACTGCCTACAAATGGTGAAGGGAAACAATTTGATACGTGTTTCTGGCAGGATCCAAACCCCCAAATTACATGTTCACTTTCCATGTACCTCCGACACTGGTTCTAAATTAATTTCCTATTCCCTTTCTATTTCCACACGAGTGGGTGGAGGGGGAAGGGACTGAAGTATACAAGAAAAAAGTTTAGCACTAGTTCAAAAGGACAAAGTGAGTTTCTGTAGGGATACCTGTTTTTGTTCAAGAAATTCTATTGCATCTTGTAAACAAGTTAAAATCCCTTCAGCTGCTATTTGCTTTATCTCATCTGGCTCTGGCTGTAAGAGGTAGAAGAACAGAATAAAGATCAGATTCATCCAGAACATCAGGAAAGTCTCGTATACAATTGAAAGAGGAAAATAAATTAATAAATATCCTACACCTCTCAACCACTACTCTATCAGTGGGTCGAGAGAAGACATTATTTCTAAGATGGACATCTATAAATGACAATTGTGAGTCCGCAAAATTCAGCGGCTGTAAAAACAAACATGTGCTAACACACACACAAATAGTAGAATGCCAATAACCTTTTCTTCTTGACTCTCCAGCCACGATATTGTCTTATTCAAATCATCAACGGCCCACTTCTTCACTTTAGAAGGAGAAAAGCACTCTTTAACAGTATTAGAAGCTTTTATCTGCCACATATATACACAAGAAACCGACATTGGTATATTAAATTTCCACTGGCATCAAAACTACAAAAAATTGAAAAAGTAAAATCAGACACATTTTTATCATTAAACTAGTCAAGACATACCTTTGAAGTTGCTGGGGCAGTTGGTTTCAATGGTGTTTCTCCATCTTGCTTCTTAGATTTACTAGGTCGGGATACTTTTTTGTCTGCAGACAGTCACTAGAGCATTGATTAGCTATAAATGCAACAACAATATGAATCTAAGACCAAATAGTGACCAACTAAATTATCCTAACTGAGATTTTGAACAATTAAACTCAACATGAGGTATTAAAACTGTAGTAACAAATTAAAATTAAATTAAAAATAAATTAAATATTAAGACAAGAATACTTTTTGTTGTACAGAATTATCAAACCTAGCAGATATTCTTGCTCGAAAAGTTAGAATTCCACTAAACAACCTAGCAGATATTCTTGCTCGAAAAGTTAGAATTCCACTAAACATTCTTACACCTTGGCTGTTTTGATGGGAAACACTGCTTTTACGCCAGGGTTTTCCAGCATTCATAAGGTAACTTTCAATATCGACAAGCTTCTTCTGGGCGTAACATTCTGATATCCAATCCTAATATGAACAAAATAGACACCTTTAAATAACCACAAAGTATAAATTATCATTCAGATAACAATTGCTGAAGCATCAGCATTGAGTGTGATTATAGAAAATTAATTTGCTCTATTCTCGTGAAATGGACTTGTATTTAGTATAAGAGCGCATATGACAAGCTAATGAATCTATAACAACAGAACTGAGCAAGTAGTGACTTTAGTGCAGCTTGCGGAAACAAAGAAGAACCAACAAAACCAGTCAATGGCTGAAGACAAATTATCATTTTGGACAAGATATTAATACTACAGAAATAAATAATCAGTGCATCTCATATACCATAGAAGTTTTACTTTAGTTTGGCTTTATGAAATACGAAATAATCTCTTAATTTATTGTAGCCTGCCTTAAATAACAAACCATCTCAATTGACTAAAAAGAATGCATTTATACAGAATAAAAAATGCATACGACACACAAGTCAATAGTCTATTTTTGAAAGAAAAATTAGAAACCTTTGAAACTATAGTTCCACAATCTGCCTCAACTTGTCGAAACTTTGGGGTGTTTGGAAATGCACAAACTAAGAGAGTGCAATCTGAACTCCAGTCAGGCTGATATTCCGCTCCCATTTCCAAAGCCTGTGACCGCAAATTGCTGCGCTCAGGATTAACAAACCCAGACAGCACAAACACTACTCCTTCCTGGTCACATAAGAGTTATGATATTACCCTCACATTGTCAAGTCAAAAGACAAACAGAACAATGCAGCTTGATAAATCTCATTATTCCACACTATCTAGTACCATGAGTTTGGAAAAGTTTGCAGTTCCGGAACTGGATGCAGAAGATTTCTTGATGTCCTTAGAAGGCGTACCCCCGCGTCCCCTGGCTACCCCTGGCTTTCCTTCCTCATTGCTTTCTTCACCTTCAGCAGCCCCAGTTAATTTCTTTTCAGGAGACTCACTCTCATTGTCTCTTGAACTAATCCACGAAGGAAGGCTTCGCTTCCCGGCCTTATCAGAACCATTACCCTGGCTCCCTTTCGAATGAGACATTTTTACAAGCAATTTAAACCCCCAAATTGCTTCCAATCAACAGCTATACAAAATTGACAGCAACCCAGTTAGGATAATGGAAAAACATCACAGTTTCCACAAGCTCCACCGTGATAATATATATATATATATATATATATATATATATATATACCTACAATTGGTAACATGTTCAAGTGATATTTATACCATCACAGGCCAACAAATATAATTCAAAAAATTAAAATAACAATTAAGTATAAAAGTTACAATCATGACAGTTCATGCAGTAAGAGACAGCAACAAATCAATCAGAATTCCCAAATCAAATCAAAATACAGAGAGAGAGAGAGATGAAATTGGGAGAAAGTAAAAACCCTAGTTGCAGGAAGAGAGTAATTGGAAAACCGTTGACTTCTCTTTCACTTGGGGGCCCTGGAATTGCTTCCAATTCCGTACAGAAATTGGGTTTTGCTTCGATTTTCCTCAGCTGCTTTCTCCTGCCAAAGAGGGGTGGCGTGGCCGAGTGGTGGCCTCTAGTGAGGAGCGCACGGTCAAAACGCATAACTTGAAGGGCACATCTGCAAAATAATAAAGTACAAGGGTTAAAACTTCACTGTCCTCTTTTTCGCTGTCCCCTCCCTGTACCATGCTCGTGTGGTGACACGTTCAACAGTCTAAAGGTTTCTGTTACGTTGGGACAGGTGTCATCAACGGAAGCAAGTGATATGGAGGAGACAGATGAAAGCGGGACACGAGATTCATACCTCCGATGCAACTCCCGCTCAAGATCCAAAACGATGTCAATCTCTCAAAATTTCAAAACTCAAATCCTCCTCGCCTCTTCCGTCTCGCAGACCCCTCGAGAACGACACAGACGGTAAATCTCCTCCGTCGTTTTCCTCCTCTCGCCTCCGTCGTCGCCCTCCTCTGGCCTCCGTCGTCTCCCTCCTCCTCTCTCCTTCTCTCTGGAATCGATCGATCTTTTCGAAGAGGATAAACAGATCTGAAATGGTGTTTAGGTACGCAGCTTGTTTGCACTTTTGTTTTCTATTTTTTTACCAAGTTTTTTTTCTCCCATTTCTGAAATCAATTCTTGCTATTTATTCTGGGTATTCGCTGTAATTTGTGTTCACTTAGTATTAGAAGCGAAATAAATTGTTAATTTCGACCACAATTACAAGGGTTTAGGGTTTCTGAGAGATCGGGTTTAAGGATTTGGTAAATTTTAATTAAGAACTTTGTAGCATTTAGCTGCTTAGTTTGTTTAAAGTTAATTTGTGGTGGAGTGTTATGGCTTTGATTATTGCTGGTGTAGCAAAATGCCATTTAATTAAATTACCCAAAACAAGCCCTAAACCCCTGTATTTTGTCTCTTTATTTCTCATAGGGCTCTCCTTTCGGAAAATTGAAATGTGAGAGGGAAAAGATGAATGACGCTTGGAACTCCGATCCAGTGGATCCGCTGCTGGGTTTCACAGGCCTCGCCCTCTTCCACCAGAGCTGCAAGGCTATTCCAGACAGTTCAACTTCCATTCCATTTGATTTCCACCGCGACCTCCAAGCCATCCATTCCCAGTTCAACTCCGCGGTACTTGCTAACACTACTCTACCCTCCAAAATATAAATTTTAATTCAATTTTTATTTTGGGTGAAATGTTTCCAGTTTAATTAAATTTCTGCTTACTGTAAGTTTGTTACTTTATATCGGGTAAATATTGTTGCAAGGTTTTTTTATTTTTTTAAATTTATGACCCAGAAAGTGTAGGATTAGTAATTTCATTTTTGTTTGGAATCTTGTATTTTGTTTTTATTATCTAGTTGATTGAGCTCAGTTTGACTATTTTGGTGTGGGTGCTTAATTGAAGCCTATATTTCTGTTGGTTGCTGAGAAAACTAATGGAAAATGTATAAATATATTTTTGGCACTTTGTTTTGAATTGGAATTTGAGAAGCTGAAAATCTTACCCGAGTTTGATTTTCTTTTCAGTTTTTGGGATACCTTGGAAAGCTCATAATATTATTTATTTTATTTTATGATTGCTTTTGTTAAAATTCAAAACTCCGCCTATGTCTTACATGGCCGGTCCCAAGCCCGGATAAAGGAGGAGGGGAAGGGCGTCAGGTAGTCGACAGCCGGCACTCCATGATCACGTCGAATCCTTATGAAAATGAATCCAGAACAAAATCGCGCTAAAGCTAGGGCGTCACCCGTAAGTGGCGCGCTGTGTGGCCCGAGCACAGTGATAAGTGAGCAAGGGTCGCTGTATCTCCATCGGCACCCGGATGCAGTGTTAAATGAGCAAGGGGGCTATAGAAACTTCTTTTCGAACGACTCCACTCAAAGTTGTTTGGGAGCATATGCTCCTATCAACTTTACCCGGGACACACAAAAGAAGTACTTTGATCCTATTAGACGGGGGAGGGATGAAGAAGCTAGGACAGAAGGGTAGAGTTCAAGAGAGCAAAATGCGTTTAGGAACGTGGAATATAGGAACCTTTAACGGGAAAATCTATGGAAGTAGTGGAAGTTATGGTGAGGAGAAGGATAAATATTATGTGCCTACAAGAAACTAAGTGGGTTGGTAGTAAGGCAAAGGATCTAGAAAACTCAGGGTTTAAACTTTGGTATTCGGGCACAAAATAGAACGAGAAACGGTGTTGGCATCATCGTGGACAAGACCTTGGTACAAGATGTTGTAGATGTCAAGAGGGTAGGAGATAGAATCATGGCAATCAAGATTGTAATAGGACAAGAACTTATCAATGTGATTAGTGCGTACGCACCTCAAGTAGGGTTGGATACGAGTTCGAAGGAGAAATTTTGGGAAGATCTTGGAGACTTGGTGCAAGGAATTGCTCAGACGGAGAAGTTATTTATAGGAGGAGATTTAAATGGACACGTGGGCAGGGAGACAGGCAACTATGGAGGTTTTCATGGTGGCCATGGTTTTGGGGAGAGAAACGAGGATGGGGAAGCTATCTTGGATTTTGCAATGGCATATGATCTTTTCTTAGCCAACACCTTCTTTAAGAAGAGAGAAGAACATGTGATCACCTACAAGAGTGGGTCGTCAAAAACACAAATAGATTTTCTTCTAATGAGGAAAGGGGATCGTATAACTTGTAAGGATTGCAAAGTTATACCAGGAGAGAGCGTGGCTAATCAACATCGCTTGTTGGTGATGGATGTACATATCAAAAGAGTAAGACAAAAGAACAAGACTTGGAAGTGCCCAAGGACTAGATGGTGGAATCTAAAAGAAGAAAAACAAGCCATTTTCAAAGAGAAGGTAATCACCCAATGTGTGTGGGATAGAGAGGGGGAAGCTAGCCAAATGTGGGATTCCATGGCTAGTTGTATCCGAAAAGTAGCAAAAGAGGTATTAGGAGAGTCCAAGGGCTTTGCCCCACACCAAAAGGAATCTTGGTGGTGGAATGAGGAGGTACAAACAAAGGTGAAGGCTAAGAAGGAATGTTGTAAAGCCTTATACAAGGAGAGGACCGATGAAAATGGTGAAAGGTATAGAAAAGCGAAGCAAGAGGCGAAGAAAGCTGTCAGAGAAGCTAAGTTAGCGGCTTACGACGATATGTATAAACGACTAGATACCAAAGAAGGAGAGTTGGATATCTATAAACTATCTAGAGCAAGGGAAAAGAAGACAAGGGACCTAAACCAAGTGAGGTGCATCAAGGATGAGGATGGAAAGGTTCTTGCTACAGAGAACGCGGTTAAAGACAGATGGAGAGGTTATTTTCATAATCTTTTCAATGAAGGACATGAAATGAGTGCTTCTTTAGGGGAGTTGAGTAACTCAGAAGAGTGTAGAAACTACTCTTTTTATCGTCGAATCCGGAAGGAAGAAGTGGTTGTAGCTTTGAAGAAGATGAAGCATAAAAAAGCAATAGGCCCAGACGATATACCAATCGAAGTGTGGAAACTTTTGGGAGAGACAGGTATAACATGGCTCACTGACCTTTTCAATAGGATTTTGAAAACGAAGAAGATGCCAAATGAGTGGCGAACGAGCACTTTGGTGCCTATCTACAAGAATAAGGGCGACGTACAAAATTGCATGAACTATAGGGGTATTAAGCTAATGAGTCATACAATGAAGCTCTGGGAGAGAGTCATTGAGCATAGATTGAGGCAAGAGACACGGGTTTCGGACAACCAATTCGGGTTCATGCCAGGGCGCTCAACCATGGAGGCAATCTATCTCTTACGAAGATTGATGGAAAGATATAGAGATGGGAAAAAGGATTTACACATGGTCTTTATAGATTTGGAAAAAGCGTATGATAGGGTCCCAAGAGACATTCTTTGGAGGATTTTAGAGAAGAAAGGAGTACGAGTAGCATATATCCAAGCTATAAAGGATATGTATGAAGGAGCAAAGACTGCCGTAAGAACTCATGAAGGACAAACCGAAAGCTTTCCCATAACTGTAGGATTACATCAAGGCTCATCCTTAAGTCCTTACCTTTTTGCGTTGGTAATGGATGAGTTAACAGGACATATTCAAGATGATATTCCTTGGTGTATGCTTTTCGCAGACGATATAGTGTTGATAGATGAAACTCAGGAAGGGGTAAATGCAAAGCTTAACCTTTGGAGAGAAGTGTTGGAATCTAAAGGTCTTCGCCTAAGCCGATCAAAGACAGAATATATGGAGTGCAAGTTCAGTGCAAATGGAGGCCAAAACGAGTTAGGGGTGAGGATCGGAGATCAAGAAATACCAAAGAGCGACCGTTTTCGTTACCTAGGATCTATCTTGCAAAAGAACGGAGAATTAGATGGAGATCTCAACCATAGAATACAAGCTGGATGGATGAAGTGGAAGAGTGCATCCGGCGTGTTGTGTGACCGCCGTATGCCACTGAAGCTCAAGGGAAAATTTTATAGGACGGCAATAAGGCCGGCGATGCTGTATGGCACAGAATGTTGGGCGGTGAAACATCAACACGTACACAAAATGGGTGTAGCGGAGATGAGGATGCTTCGTTGGATGTGTGGGCACACGAGAAAGGATAAGATTAGGAATGAGGATATCCGGGGTAAAGTAGGAGTAGCCGAAATTGAAGGAAAGATGAGAGAAAATCGGTTACGGTGGTTTGGACATGTGCAAAGAAGGCCTACTGACGCTCCGATTAGAAGATGCGACTATGGGACAGAGGTTCAGGGCCGAAGGGGTAGAGGAAGACCTAGGAAAACTTTGGAAGAGACTCTAAGAAAAGACTTAGAGTACTTGGATCTAACGAAGGACATGACACAGGATCGAGCACAATGGCGTTCTAAGATTCATATAGCCGATCCCACTCAGTGACTTGGATTTTCCAAGTCTCCAACCGAGAAGTTTTCCTCACTCGGGAAAATTAAGGGAACACTACCCCAACCTACATGCTCCACTCAGAAAGCTTCAACATACAAGCTTCAACAAAAGAAAATTCAAAGAACTTAGCGAAGAAGGCTTTGGTGTATTTAACACAATACGTTGAAATGAAGGAAAGCTTATTTATTGATATCCCCGATAAGCTACAAATATGTACA